AGTAAACAAGAGTTGTCTTCCAACTTGAGGCCTCCTTTAGATAACATGAAGGTTAAGTGGCCTCTTTCCGTTTCTATCAACACTTTATGTACTACAAGCATCTAAATGAGTAGTTTGAGGTGCTCTTTGTACTTGGCGCGGTATGTGAACAAAATGGTTCTCATGATTCTGTGAGTGGAAGAGGTCTGTCTTTGTGACCCTGGCAGCAGGCATGGATATGTGTCCATGGGTGCAGGAGGGAGAAAGGGTTATGGAAGCTGGAGACTGGGAGGTACTTATGAGAAGTATCACTACATGTTTCCTCCAGCCTGAATAGTCTTTCTTTGATGCTAGGTATTGGAAGTGTCTGTGTCATGGAAAACAAGATTTAACCACAAAGGCTATGTAGAGTGTGACCCTGGTGCCCAAGAGCACAGACCATACCCTTAGCAGCCACGGTCTTCCTCTAAACATGCTCAATGTAAGTCATAGCACCCCAGATCACATTTTCCAGTACCACTTTCAGTGTTCCTTGGGTAGTATTATGAATATTATCAGCTTAAAAATTAACTGTTGTTCAAGAACAATTCACTGATTTAATTGGCAAATATCTAAGAAAATCTGAAAGCTACAGCTCATGAACAGGACAGTCTTTCATTTAATTTCTTTTTCTTTCCTCCTCCCCATTTTTTTTTTCTCGTTGAGGCTGGCAAAGCCTTGCAGGGGCTGATTTTTACTCTCTGGTCTCATGCCCTGAAATATGACCTCACCATTCCAGTCCAATCTGTGGTCGTCATTTAGCAGTACCTCTGCTAGATATGGGGATATTCAAGTTAACAAAAAGCATGCAGTTTAAATTCTAGAACCCAGGCTAAAAATTTAGTGCCTAAGTATGGAAAGTCTGTTTTTTCCCCAATGAAAATGAATAGACTGAATTATCGAGACAGTAAAGATGGGATCCCACAATGGTATTGTACATGGCTTTGCTTTTCTTATTGAAGAGAGCTCAGGAGTAATTGGCAAAGTAAAATGAATCACACCCTCAATTTCAGCCAGCTTCTCTCAGCAAATGGTCAATAGTCAATAAAGAGAATCGGGCAATTCAGAAAATGATTCATACCCTCTATCTTTGATACCCATTTCAGGGTAGAGGAACTCGTCCCTCAGAAGGAGGAAGGGATGCTGTCTTGTATGTGTAGCCATCATTGCTTAGCTTTCAAATTAATTCCACTCCAACTAGCTTATCCAACCTGTTTTTGTTACTGGAAACAAATGAAAATGCAGTCAGTATTTGCAAATGCAAAGTTCTGCAGAAATATAAGCCATTCTTCTCTATTTCACCCTGCTCCACAGAGCAGCAGAGAAGATTTCTTAATTTATGCATTAAGAACAAAGTGCTGATTTGGCTCTGTGGTTCTTGGAAACCATCTTTGCTCTGCTATTTCCTGTTATTTTCTCAAGATGTGCATTTCAGATGTGAATGGGGACCTACTCAAAATCTCGTTATGTTTGTAGTGGTATGACATGATTCCTTGGACAGATGTAGATGGGTGTTCTTTGCCAGTGAAAGGGAAGTGGAAAGTGAAAGCATGGCAGAAAGTTTTCTCATTTTAATCCTGAGGATTTGATGCTTACCGCCATCATGCCATGGTTAGCTGCTTTCCCCAATGCTGACCTTGCCTGACACGTTCAGCAGAGGCTGCATGCTAAATCTCACTTCTTAAGACTTTCAGCACTTTGCATGATTGTTGCTCCTTTCATCCTGAGACACGCTTTACATGGCCACGCAGTAGACGGTCCGTGCTTGCTTTTGTAGCCTTGGCAGCGGCGCTCAGCAGCTCCTTTCACAGGGCTCTGCTGCAGTCTGACATTGTGAAGTTGTCTGCAGGCCAGACAGTGCTGCGGGAGAAGCAGACACTTTTGAACAAAATTTCTGGCTGCATTAACAGATGATTAAATTTAAAGACAAGGCATTGCCACTGTGTTTGTTTGATGTATGCTAGTGTTTGTCGACATAGGTAATTTATAGAAATTTGTTCACGTGTGTTGGGAGAGGGGACTATATCACTGCAGTAATCTGACACCTCACCTACATCGGTGGCCTTATTTCAAACCTTTTTGGGTGCCAAATTGAATAATGTGCTTTCAGAATCTGCGGAACTGAATGATTGTCCTTAAAAACATTTGTACTTTTTGGTTCATGACCTTGGCAGATTGGTGATTGGGAAAGTTTTTCACATCCCATCTGCACCTGCTAGCTTTGCCATGCAGCAATAGGACATTTCCTTTCCAAAAATGACTGGATTCTGATACCAGTGGGAAATTGGCAGCTCTTATATGAAAGCAGTAGATTCCAGTTTCCTCTTTTGGCTTTTGACTGAAATAGGAAAGGAGTTGTTCTTGTTATGATCCCAGCGCTCTGTGTCAGAGCCCTCTTCCCCTTTTCAGTCATTCAAAACAGTTTGCCAATAGTATATGGCATCATATATTGTATTGTTTATGAGATTGCCCTGAGATCACTTTTTCCCAATTTCGCTGGCCTAATTCTAAACAGAACTGCACAACCTACAGTAAAAATATTTCCCTCTACTTTTGTCTCCTGGTCTCTATTCCTCATTTCTGTGAAAGAATAAAAGAATGAAGAATAAAGTGTCTATCTGGTGGTAGGGCTTAAGAAACAACATAGTGGAATTGAAGTGTACTTTTCTCCCTATTTCTCTGTCATATCAAAAAGATGAGGTGAAGTGGTGTTCCTTGTTCTTTCAGTTCTCTTCTCCAGAAGTGATGGAAAGCTGTTGTGACTTCTTCTTTGTAAGGGATGTTTAAATCAGCAAGTAGGGAATCAGTGGAGTTGGGCAGGACTCGGGCATTTGCCTCATCTCCAGCCTGAATTATCACCTTTGCAGAGAACTGCAATGGAGTGATGTTGCTGACAGCGAGGCGGTGAATTTTGTTTCCACTCTTAACAGCATAAAGCACCTGCATTGGCTTTACAAGGGATTCAGAGATTTGCTCTCTCTGAAAGTTAGAGTAAATTGTTTGTTGCGTCCAATGTGTGTCTTTATAAATGTGCACTGTCCTTTTCTTCCTGTCAGTTACTGGAGATGGAGATAGAATCATGTGGCTTTGTCTGTGCCTTCATGTAGCGTTATTAATGAAACAGGTAATCCTATTTGTCTTAAAATCAAGGCAAATATCTCTTGTGTTCTGTCCATCTGTTCCAGACACCAACAGCATGCTCATCATCATGGTATTGGAACAGTCTGGTACACAAATAGCAACCAGCAGTTATAATATTATTACTTAGTCCACAAAGCTAATATTGGCAGTGATAACTAGACATCACACACTGTGAGATAGTTTCTCAGCTGATGTACTTTGTTTTGCCAGAATATGATAATAATATTCTGTATAAAAGTTAGTAAAAGGGCATGTTTTTAATGATGTCATAAAAGCAGCATAAATTGCCAGTATAATATATATCAAATTTTTCTGTATACATCCAGTAACTTACAATCCACTGTTATCTTGCTATAGAACAGCATTCTTTAGAAAACAATGGGTATTTTTTACACACATTAGATCAAGTCAAACCACTGAAAGTTCACTTTCTCCCCCAGCTGTTGATATAGGCTGATACAGGAGTGCCTTTTTACATGCAGAAGGCCATTTATCTCAATCTTGAACTAGACCAGTGAAGGTTTATTCAGCACGCGATCTCCTTCTGTAGTGTTGGAGGGGTGACACGTGTCTGCAGCCCGCCAGGAAACTCTAAGTCACTTTCTGCATGCACTCAAGCAGTTGCTTCATTACCTTCTGAAAAGTATAAAACTTGCTCTCTGCTTTTCCAGCCTGTGGAAGGAACATGGACCTTTCAGACCAACTTGTTTCAGGATTTAGCCTACCATGGAAGCAGACTGCAGTCCCCCAAAAGATCCTGAACACCCTACAAAATTTGGAGGTTCCCTACCTGTCCTTACTCCCCTTCATACATCTCATTTGCACATGTTCAGAAATCTAACTTCAAATGTCTCCTTTTTGTTTGGTCACTTTTCCTACAATATAATATAAAGATTATTTTTTTCTTTTGAACAGCCACACTTTTAAAATTTCTGCTACTTAAATTGCTGGTTAAAATGAGTAGATTCCTCTCAGGTGGCATATTTGTGCTGATCTGGTTAAATGCAATAGCCCACCTTTCTCTTCCCTTCTTAATCAGAATATATTCCTGGGAGACCTACTGTGGAAGCTTGTCTACAGAGACTTCCATACAGAAGCAAGACGGAGCATTTTCAGATTGCAGCTTCACCGTTGCAGTGTTATAACTATGAAACAAAAGTGAAACCAAGGCATTATAGTTCCTAGTTTTTATATACAACTTTTGCTTGCCGTAGATGGCAAATTGCTGCTAAACTAGCATTTCTGTAAGCATTATAGTGACCACACTAGTGCTGCTATAATGGAAGGGAATGTCTTTATCCGAGCTGGTTGTGATTATGTTGCTAGGCACAAGCAGAATGCATCAGCCATTATTACTCTTTCAGTGAACATGAAACTTACTGGTTGTGATATTGGTTCATTCTTAATTTTTATATCAAAAGCTTTCTTTAAAAAAAAAAAAAAAAATTAACTACAATATTTAAGCTTTACAATAAACTAATTAAAAATGTAAATGGATTGTTAAGAACGCTGTTGCCGAAGGGGCTGTTCATGTACCTGAAATGGATGGAAAGGCCAACTGAAATCTTGTTATAAAAATGGAGGATCATTCCCTACAGCTGAGCTCTGCCTTGAACATTTAGCTTTCAGCTCGACTGTGGGAAGGAGTCTAAAGTCCTGGGTGACTTTCATACATGTCTAGATACAATGAAGGGCAAAGTGCAGCATTTTTATCCTGTCATTCCCTTTTATCAATCTCAGTTATTAAACAGGTGGTAGATATTAAGATCAACCTTGCCTTAAATATTTAATAGACATTTCTTATTAGCCAAACTACATGTGTCCCATTATATTTCTTTCAGGGCCTGTCTCTCATTGGATGCATGCCAGACTGTCCTTCAGTATATCGTCCGGCGAGTAGGAGAAGGAATGTGTTTGAACTTGGCACAATTGCAGTGAACATAAAGGTATAGCTGGAACTTAGAACACTCCCTTCTGTCTTGCTGTTGTAGGCCAGTATCTTGTTCTCTGCAGTCAATTGTTTTGGTGTGATGTTATTGCGAAGAACGAGTAATTTCTGGCTCAGTTTCATGGGTTTATCAGGCCAGAAAAAGATACAGCTGGACTAAATGCCGATCCCACAGTGTATTTTATGTAGCTCTTTTTATCATGTACTGTGCCCACCAGAAGAAAATGAAGATGCATCACTTCAACTTTTATAAGAAAGATCTGTAACAGGTTTTGTTGTATCCATGAATAGAAAGTGGTTACAGAGCTCATTAGCTTTCTCTGCTCCCATGGTTGCAGTGTACATCACAATATTACACATTTCCACTGCACAGTTCCCCCTTGTCCTCTTAATTTTAGATACGCTGCATCCTCCTCAGTAATCTTTCAGGTTTATGGCATGGAGCATGAAACGTAACCACTAAAATAGGCTGGATGATTATTTTGCACAATTTTGAATGACTAGTCAAAGTAGGACTTGGGGGAGAGTATGGTCTCACAGTTTTGTAGAACTAGATGCCTCCCAAAATAGCTGCTCTGACTGGAGTGGCTTCAGTTTGCCAAATGTTAAATTAGTACATGGGCATACTCTAGAAAAGACCAGATGAACTCTTTTGAATTAATGAGGGAGGCTGGGTTCTCTGATATTGTTAATTATGTGTTGATGCAAAGCATGGTAGTCCATTGCCCTTTCTCAACTATAGTATTAGAACAAAAAGCAACAAAAGATCATCACAGTGGAAGCTGTTGCCCATATTCCCATGTGTGCTCTATCTTCCATGGGGATCTCTTGTTGATACCAAATAGGAAAGCAAATGTAGTTGTCCTGATTATTTTTCTTCTTCAAGTGCTATTTCACATAATAAGCCTCTGTGGCTTTCTGCCTCATCCCACTTTTTGATGATCCTGATTTAGATATGATATTACTATGTCTTTTGAACCATGTATTTTAGTAGATTTTGTATTTGGACATAAAACCCCAGCTACAGAGTGAATATTACATGGGGCAATCTTGTGTTAGATAACAGGCAAATTTGAATAGTTAATCTCATGTATTCAAAAGGGGACCTTTTTTTGCATGGTACAGAAAGAATCTCATTAGTTAATGAACACAGGCAATGCATGCAGTGTGTAGGGAGTGATTGTGTTTAACTATGCGTTATTTGATCTTTAAATAGCATTTTTTTTCTTAAGGTAAAAGAAGCAAGTAATTTCAGTACCCTCTCTTGAATAACATTCTTTGTAATTATTTTTCAGTGTAATTTTCCAGCGGAATGTAAATAGTTTTTTTAATTTCTTAGTGGTGAATTAATAGCTCCTGACATTATATATATGTTCTTTTTCCTTTTGTCTGCTTTTAGGAAGAAACAGAAGCTGCTTCATCAGTGCCATTTCCATACCATGGTTGGTCTCAGGAAAAAGACTGCATTGATGAATTAGTGCAACTACCCTCCCAGCCGTGGAAGAATATATTTTACAAGAAAATCCATAAGTGACTAATAGGCCAGATTGGTCATCCCTCACCCACAGTGGTAAGCAGTCTTCTGAGATCCAGGAGAAATGTTTTGGTATACCTGGAAATCAGCCTAGATCTAAATTAGATTAAATTAAGCATCTAAATACAGAATTTGGTATTTAACAACAAAAACAAAAAAGAAAAATTAATTTCCACTGTGGATATTTCAGTCTTGAATCATGCTCTTCTACCACATTTCAGCAATGTATCTTAATACCTTTGGCTTTCAGGTTTGCTTGCTTTTTAAGTTTTTCAGTTATAACTAATGTAATTTAGAATCAATTAAGCAGCCTTCCATTGTTTTGAGTGGGTCCAGTGGATAATGATTGCAGCCTGCTAGTAATTAAATGTTGCTCTTTCTTAGCTTGAAAATGAAACACCTCTATGGAATTTAAATTTCTTGATTTATTTATGTTGTCAGTCTAAATAGTATGGATAGGTGTACCAGGTCAGTGCAGACACAGTGCAATCTTAAAAACAACTTTTAAAAAGCAAAAAGAAGAGAGAGGGGGGGAGGAAGAAGAGAGCAAGAAAGTGAGGTAAAGACAAATTCACCCAGTTGTTAAAACTTTGAATTGTATGGAAAATTTTCCACACTTAGCTGAATCCTGCATGTAATTTCTTAATTTTGCCTTTGTACAACCCAGATAAAGGGTTCATGTCTGTACTCACTTTCACTCACAGATGGGTGTCTAAAATTTGAGTGATAAGTTGTGTAAAACAGGATGTATTGCCTATTTGTCGAAGCCTATAGGTCTACCTACTTCAATAAAGCAGAAGCTAGGTCTCTTACCTTTTGTGGACTAAAAAACCCACTGAATGCTTGCTTGTCATACTGGCTTTACTACTATGCAGAGCTTTACTACTTGAATTCACTGACTAATGATTTAAGCGGAATTAAGCCTTTATTAATTTTCTTGTTTCAAAATCTGGTACCAGTAATCACGGTATTTCACCATTCAAAGACAGTTCTTTGCTTCTTCAAAGACTTTATTAAACTGATATGTACCATCCCCCTCCCAGGACTGTAGTGAGGTACCCTCGCATGATACAAATGATGAGCTTCTGTCTGAAGTAATAGGGGTGATACCTAATCCTGAACCGACATCTGAAGGATTTTAAATAAAGGTTATCAATGACAGGTCTGTAATCTAGCCTCAGTTAGTTAGGGGCTGTCCTGTGTTAGAAGGAAGATGAAGGCATTTGACTCTTTCAACAGATCGAGAACCTGAGCTTTTTTCCTTGAGCTTCTGTTACATTTAAGGATCCGTGATGAATAACAATAATAAAAGATGAATCCCATCGGGTTTTCTGTTGATTTTAGTTTAATTTAGTATACGACTACACAAAGTTTAGTCTGACAGCCAAGGAAAGTATGCAGTTATCAACAGTACTGATATGATAAACCAATTATGTAAGCTTATTTTCAAATCTCTCCAAATCCCATACTACTTAACAAAGTAAAACTCTTCAGTTGAAATGCACGTGTTTACAGAAAGATACAGCATCGAATAGAGGTTTCATTTAGAGCTTTGGGTAGACTAAGTGGCCTTGCTGACTGATTCTTTGCCTTTTGCCATTTTTAAGCATGAAATACAGCAGGAGTCTGAAAAGAAAGTATGGGCAAGAAAAACACAAAGTTGTAAGAAAGACTTTTGAGTGTTGCAAGAAAGACTTTTGTGCTTAGAAGGCTGTGGAGGCCCAAGCACTGAAATGATCACTATGTGCTGTGTTTTGGAGTCTAGTTAATGTTACATCTTTGAGCTGTAACAGTATTTTTCAAACTCTGCATCCAACCATTGCCTTGGCCGGACCTCAGATGAGCCCTGTGTGGGGAAAGTGTCCCTGGGGCTCGGCAAAAGCTGTTTGTCCTTTTGTCACGAAGATAGGCATTTGTTCCTGGGGAGTGTGGGAGGTGGCTCCTCCTTTCTCTCTGCACTTGTAGCCACTGTGAAAATAGATAATTCCAGAAGGCAGCCTAATATGTAACTGCAGACCCAAATGTCATTGCAGAATTCTGAGGCTCTCTTTCCTGACACACAGCTAAGTTGTACATGCGCGTGCAAGCGTTTTCACAAGCCTGCTAATGAATGCCCCAAACCAAGTCAGATGGAGTTTACAAGGAATGAGTAGGGAGAGAACAAAACACCAAGGGGTGAGAAAGGCGAAAAAGCACAAAGAACAGCGAGAAAGAAATTAAAAATGTAGATCATGGAAAGTGTAAACTGGTATCATCAGTGTCAGGCCGTGATACAAGGAGGGCATTCTGTTGTTGAGTCACATGTTGCAGGTCCCCGTGAGTGTGCAACACACAAAGTATGGAAGATGCTGTGCAAGGCAGGTGCGTAAAAAGAATAAGCAGAGGGGGACTGCAAACAAAGAAAAACTGAGAAGAAAGTTTTTGAAGGAGGAAGAGGTCAGAAGAGAGAATAACAGCACAAAATCTGGTATTGAAGAAAAGAGGTGAGACAGTAGGAAGAAAGATGAAAGTGCAGCCAGTGATTTGATTTGCTGTTTTTCATTAGAGATGTATCCTTTTGCCACTTTGGATGCCATAAACATATATAAGAACATACAAGCTTTTCAGCTTAACAGGGTGAAACTGCTTTCCAGAACCCTGGCATCAAAACCACCCACAAAACCCAATAAAACAACCTTCAGTATTAAATCGATGTCATTGTTAAACAAACATCCTGTGCCAAGCAGGGAGATGCCAGCCCAGCTGGATGAATACATGCCAGAGCATTTAGATGATAACTGGTATGATGTATCAAACTCTTAAGTAAATAGGTACCTAGGCAAAGAGCAGAGCGACCAAATTCCATGGTGCACTACACTGCTATCTCCACTGGGTTGCAAAATGCGTGAGTCAGAGGTGGAAGATAGCCCTTGGCAGTATCTGTGGAGGGTACTATGATCCCCACTGAAGCCAACCCAAGCATTCTTAGTTCCTGATGTTTCCGGACCCTTTTCAAGTGTGCTTTCTAGCAGTACCCTGCCCCAATGTCTATGTGGCAGTCAACCCAGGTCTGCATCAGTGAGAAAGGGTTCATTTACTAGAAGGAAACGGGAGCTGCAAGCAGGACAGCAGGTGCTCAGGAGATGGCAACCTCAGAGTCCAACTTCCCGTAGCTCAGTTGTGGTCCAGAGTCTGAGCTGCCATTATCCTTAGCTGGCATATTAGCTCGAGATCTGTCTCTTGTGGGGCACGGAAGATTACGATGAAAAAGATGCCCAGAATATAACAGATGAAGTAAATTGTACTGAATTCACCAGCAACCTTGAGTAAAAGCCTGAGCTGCTTATTAATTCCTGAGTTGGAATTATTTTACCACTGAGATTTTTTTACCTTTCTTGTGGGTGCTGTCATAAATGGCCTGTGGGAACAGTGGAATTGTAATTTCTGGACTTTTTCAATAATATCACTATTGGAAATTAAATAGGTGCAGCTGAAGCAGAGGAACTCACTGGATCATCTCTTGGTGCCTCTTGCAACCTAATTTTTTTCTGTGATTTTAGCAAATGCATTCAGTTACTGTCCTAAGCTTGCAATGTTACACTGCTTCCACTAGGCTGTGTAACAAAAGCCCCAACTACCAAACCCCTCTGCTTCCTCCACAGCTACTCATGCAATACAAAATGTGGGATTGTCAGTTTTGTAGAAGGTTGGGAAATCAAGACCTGAACCACGGTGATGGTGTAAAGTAGAACATAAAGAAATATATCAAAGCTAATAGGTAACTGACTTATTACAGTGTTTCATGTCCTACTCAGAATAATTTTCTACTTCAAATTTGGGTGGCAGTTTCCACAAGAACTCCTGCATGCTCACAACAGTACTGAAGTAAACTGGGCCTGGATTCAGAAGAAAGAAGCCAGAACAAGGTGCCAGATCTCCTTCTAGGAGTTTCCCAAAAGAAATTTAGCTCGCCAGAGTTGGACATCTGCTCTCCAAGCATCCTGCTATCCCTTCAAATCCACCAAGTGCTCCTGACACTTCACCCTGCCTGTATCTGCTTGTCTTCTGCCTGTGATTGGAACCAGCATGAAGCCTCTGGCTGCATTCCCCTCACTGTAGGATGTGAAAGCACAGGCCATGTGAGTCAAAAATGAGAGGTAGAGCTGTACATCAGCTGTTTTCTGGTGATTTACAGACCGGTAAGATCCATTACACCATCTGGTTACCTCCCTCCTGCAAGGAGTGATGTGTGGTAGTGGACCAGCTCTTTTAAACAGTTCCAGAATACACTTTTCCTCTCCACTTCTGTTTTTCTGACATCAGCGTATACCTGAGTGTGGTTCTTTTGTTCTCTGCTTCCACGTGGTACCACAGGTCCATCAGCAACTTACTCCTCCTTTGCCATTTACTTCCTAAATTAATATGGAAAAGATTTTGCTAACGCTGTTTCCAGTGTGCTGCCAGCGTAAGAGAAATGGACTGGTTATATTGTCAGAAAAACAGTGGTAGCTGGCAAGTTCTGCAGGGAGATTAAACACATGGGAAGACTTTGAGCAATACAAGACAGACATGCTACTACTGATAAGCTAAAATCCGTGTTTATTCCCCAGCACTCCCGGTATCAGAAGACTCAGTTGCAAGGTCTCAGCTCGCTGTTGTGCATTCCTGGTACCTGACCTTCCCCGCGTGGCTGTTGTGCATCTGTTAGCCTGCGAGCTTCCCACTACATGGATCAGACACTGAGAAGGGGGATGGGAAAGGAAAAGCAGAGGAAGGCAGGAGATAAATACCTAAATTCCTTTATTTTTTTTCTGATTTTATACATCATCTAGGGAAAAGGACACTGCTAGGAGCTGAATGGTATCTGAACACTGCTGTGCTAACATGGCAGCTTTAATGAAGGGGCAGTATTTGGTCAGAAGCCTGATTCCCCCTACTTTTGCTTCAAGAACTGTTACACAGGGGAAAGAAAGACATTTTCAGGGTAAAAGCGGTGGTAGAGTGGTAGGGTGCAGACCTGAAACCTTCCTTTGCCCTGTGACCGTGTAGTGTGGTTATGTAGTTAAAAAACACCGCCCATTTCATATGAAATAGGGGCAGAAGAGGAAGGTAGAATGAATCTTAGGCAGCTCGCTGCCTTCTTCAGGCTGCGGTCCACACGGGCACTACCCTCACTGTCCCACCAACAGCCCCGCCGCAGAGCAGGCACGTGAGTACTGCAATGCAGAACCCAAGCTCATGCAGCTGGAACATTCCTCCTCCATCATTTGTGCTGGTTTCCCTCCTTCCCCTTCCCTCTTACACCTGCCTGCAGCCAATCCAGCTTGCTTTCTCTCAACCCCCCAACCCTTGTCCTCCTGTCCCCTCATTTCCCAGAGCCTCCTCTGGCACACACCTTTTGTGGCCTAAGAAGGAGAAAGATGGGAGCAGGGGATGGCAGGTCACCCGAGTGGAACCAGGAACCAGCAGTGTTCAACCTCAAAAACACGAGTTAGTGGGTCAGGATACTGCTCTGGGCTGGACAGGACTGGGGAAGGTGATTACTGTTCAAGGCAATCAGTGCTCACAGCTTTTCCTAGGCTGCTCTGGTAGAGTGCTGTAGCCCGAGCCAAAGGATGAAATCAGCCTCTGTTGGCACAAGCAGAATTCAGCCCTGAAGGTGTATGAATAATGTTTCCCTAACTGACATCTGACATTGCTCCTTGCATTACGCTGCGATTAGCAAGAGACAGGTCAGGTCTCTCTGATCGTCCGGTGGTTCGTGGTGTTCGAGACAAACTATGAATATCCACCTAAGGAAGGAGGAAGAACAGGACAGAATGTGATACGTGGGTTATAAATCATCACACCAATCCCAGCTAGAAACCAGGCAGGGGTCCTGGGCCTGTTCATCCAGTTAAACGCGTACACGTGCAGACACCCAGCTGCAGATGACATCACAGCAGCAGATGACCTCAACGTGCAGCAGGAGCAGCAGAAAGCCCTTCCTACACCTCCCTGCAGAGCTGAAGGAGACCCACTTTTTGCACTGCCCTTACACCAGCGTGCAGCCGCGGGTTGCTATGCCTGCCATGCTGCTGGTTCAGTCATACAGATTAAATAAACTCTTCTCAGACACGGAAGCTATTATTTATCTGAGATGAAACAGCATCCCACACACTTATTAACCTGTGCCCTACTTCAGAAGTAAATCTAATTTGCGGCTTTCATAGTTGGTGCTGGTGTTGGTTTGTCCCTGTGTCTGCTCTGACTTCGCAGGATACATTTATGCAGTGCTGTATGTAGCTCTTTACTGTGGC